TTGCTTTGAATCTCGTTTTCAGTGCTCAGAAACCAGCTGCGGTTACTTTAAGTGCATGAACAGAATGATCACTAGTGGCCTGAGGCCACCATATTACACAGGTATTTGCCACAGATTTCCCCTCTGTCTTTTCTCAGGAGGGCTAAAGATTGTTAAATCTTCACATATGTCTGTGCCACCCCTGCCCGTTTCTCTCTGTATTTAACCAAGGTGTTAAGCGTGACTGTCACAACTGTTATGTTTTCCATTAGGCCAGTGGGATATCATTTGATATTTATCATATTATTGTAACCTGAATTTTACCACCTAAATGTAATGTTCACATGTTGCTACCTACATTAAAATATTCTTTGGTTAGGAAAAAAATAATAATATGTATTGAATAAGGTATCTTTAAATAGAAACAACACATAAAACAAGATTATCTATTGACTAGTTGACAAAAAACATTGTGACCAGAGGCTTGTAGGAACCTAACCCTGTACATCCCTAGGAGCAATTGTTCAGTATTTGCTAATTCGGTGTTGGCGGTAACTTGATACACCACACTACATCAAATAATGAGAATTGGCCCTACTTAAATACTTACAACATTGTATAGAACTGTAACCTAAAATACTAGAAAGAATGAATTTGCTCATGAATACTATTTGAATGAGCATAGACCAAGATTGTGCTAAAATTTAATGATGTATTTTATAATCATCAAACATATTCTGCCTATTTAAAACATTTTGTTGATTCCAGAATAATCAACTCTTATTCCATAAATAAATGACGAACTACAACATAGTTTGATGTGGCTCATATATGAAGACACTACTGCCTAAGCTATTATAGCTCTCTTGGAAACAAATTGAATTCTAAGAGCCTATTTTTGTCAGTTATTTCTTATGAAGAAAAAATGTGTTCAAAACCACACCATAAGTGTAACAGCAAAGAATTCTCAAACATATTATTTGGCTATAGGAAGCATTCTTAGAACTAAGAAACATCTGAAAAAAATTAAGCAATATGGAATTAGAAACTAATTTCATCTTTTTGAGAAAGATGTTCACAGTTGAGTTGCCTGATGATCTGAGTTTATTTTTGTAGAGTTATTGATCCTTCCAAAGATCTCATTGAATTGTCCTAAAATAAATTTCTTTCTAGAGGATGAAATCTCCTGAACAATAAACTGAGCTATATGTTTCCTCCTGGGGGGCAATAAAAAAGAAAACTGGGCTGGAAGTCAAGAGCCCAGTATTCCATTCCTGACTATCACATTTAGTCATTCTGAATGAGTCATGCATGTGCTTTCATGACAGCCATTTCTTTGTATATTTCTTACTTAGAAAGAAGAACTATAGTAGGTGGTCAGATGCCCACATCAGCTGGCACAAAAAAAGAATGACAAAGCTCCTGAACCTGACTGCAGATTTGTTGCAGTGCTGACATGGTAACAGTAACAATTGTGAATATTTATCCTCCACTTGCCAGGCACTTGTCAATAATGCCAGGCACTGTGCCAGGTGGTTTACATGTGGTAACCCAACTAATCCTCCCAAGAGCCACACAAGGCATTCCCATTTTCAGAGCAGAAAATAGAGGATAGAGAGGCCTACCAACTTGTCTGAGATCGTTCTGCTAAGAGGGGAGGGTACCCCATTTTGAATAGTACATTAACTCCATTGCATGAGCTCTTAACCACTATTCGTTGTCGTGTGTGATTTCAGGCATGATTTTAACTTGTCACAGTTTTGAAGTTCTCATGTGATAGTTTAAAATATATTAAGTCACACACCACTGATCAATAGAGAGGGATTTGTTCCTGGTATCTCTCAATAAAGAGGATTAAAATAATGGCCATAATCTTAATAATGTCACTGAATCCATCAATTAATAAATAAGATCAGTCTTGGGTTCAGAAGATACTGAGATTTTGAATCTTTAGCTATGTACAGCAAATGGGATAGTCACAAATAAGTATATTAAGAAAAAATTGAAGAAAGCAATTGTTCTTTGTTCTGTTTGGTCTATTTGAGCAAAATCTTTGACAAGACAGGAAAGTAGCTGTTTGTAAATTTTGAAGTCTAGGGACTCACTGAATTCATTCTGAAGGTGCCCAATGTGATGCCTATATCAAATGTAGCTGAACGAAATTGTATCAACCAAACCATAGCATTCCAAAACAGACCAAGCTAGATGGTGCAGTTAATTTTTCTCAGATATTTCTCTTTCCCTACCAAGCTGCATTTCTTTTTAATGAAGGGCATCTTATCATTAACTTATGAATGTGTAAGACATTTTTGTAGGGTGTATTATGTTAGGAATGCTTTGAAATCAAAATTTATTCCATATATCCAGTCTTCAAGGACTTTTTTCCCCCATCATTAGATAAGCAGCACAGAGAAGCAGTAAAGACACCTAAAAGTACACCTAGACATCAGGGGGGAAGTTTTTTTGAGTTCTAGAAAGCAAAGACAAGAAATGAGAAGGATGGGACACCCAGGCTAGTCTTATGACTCTTGACCACATACATCCTAGATGCAAATCAGTTCATCTTGATCAAGCGTCATGTGCTGATGCCTGAATGTGAGGACTGGGGAAAAGTACCCACCTGCTGCCTCTGTAATAGTCACCCACTCTCCTCCACCAGGTAACTGAAGGGGAATTTGGGGGTCCTGGGGGCCCAGCAGGCTCACTGTTTCAGATGTGCCCCCAAGTACAGAGCCTGATGGGCATTGTTATCATGACCAACAGTGAGGGAATGGGTTTTAGGAAGTAGATCTAACTTTGAGTTTTTGCTTTAGCTAAGTTGGTCACGCAGTTGAGAGTGGGAGTTACTATGGGGCACTTTGATTTTAAAAGCAGAAGAAATGCCTTCAGATTGTGATAAGAAACTGACCGTTTTCAAGTGGTTGTTTAGAGTAGTTGGCAGCTTATAAAGAATTCACGCTTAATAGCATTTTGCCAACAACTCCCACATTATTCCTTATGGCTGGGGCCACATGACCTGCCTAATGAGTCTGTTTCCTAATGTGCTTAAACTCTCTATCCTCAGGATTCTTCCCTCTGCTTTCTGGAGAGGGCTTTCTGGTTCCCAAGTTTGATGTGTCCCTTCCTGTAGCTAGAGAAGAGAAAGGGAAGAGGGTCCCTTGGGATCTTGGCCTCAAGTCTTTCTGAGAGCCAAAAGTCTTCTCCCATCTTCCCAGAGCAGCCCCACACCAGGTACACATGGGCATGGGTCTCGAGAAACACACGTGAAACATATTGTCTCACTTCATTGACTGTACATCAGAAATTTTCCACCTTTTACTGCACAGGAATGCCTGGAAGCTCTATGAACACAGAGCCCAGGTCAGTTTTGGCTCACTTGTGAATCCACAGTATTTTTACACAATGCTTAGCTTATAACAGATGCTCAGAATAAAATTTATCTACTGATAAGTGCCATTTATAACTGATTAAATATAGTGTGGTCATTGGTCCTCAAACTCTTGGACTAGAATACAGTTTCCTAGTATAACTTTAATTCAATGGAAAAGGCAGATTTGACCTCAGCGGTTCAACTCACTCTCAAGTTTGAGAGTTACCTGTACTGAAGAGACATTGTGGTTAGCTGCTGGGTGTAGACATGCATCATTTGTGTTTCCTTCATTTCTGTGCTTTGTTTCTTCCCTATGACACTTCCTGAACAAAAATGGTGTTAGGATGGGGATGATAGGAAGTCACAAAAACAAGATTGGGTTACACAAGACCACTTTTTAGCCAGGTGGCTCTTCTTAAGGCTGGGATGACTTCAGCCCCTATGTGCATGATCTTCCATTAAGAAAGTTCATGGACAGACTATTTCCTTACATGGTGTAATTTTCTGCTTGGCTCCTGTGAAGTTTCTACTTAAGGAATATCCTTTCTTCCATTTGCAAATCAAAAGGTCCAACAACATCAAATCATATTAGAAATAAAATGGACCAATTGCTTCATTTAGGGAACATAGCAAATGTTTACTGTCCATATAACAATCCACAGCCAACAGAAACCTGTTCACTCACAGATACTGTAGTTTATGCAGTCTGCAAATAACCTCACTTTAGTGTTCATTAAAAAAGCAGGTTGATTCAAATACACCCCCCCAGCATACAGCACTTTGGTAGGGATTTTATGTAACATTCTTCGGTGGAAGTTGGAGTTGTTTGATCCCCAAAAGAAACTGGTAGAGATTAGTGTAACTCAAGAAATAGGCAAAAAATACGCAAGCGAGTGAAAAGACAAACGCCTAGCGGTGTTTGAACTGTTAGGAGCAAATGCAACCATTGTGGCCTTTAATGTTGACAGAAGAAGTTCAGAGTAGGACGTCAGAACCAGAGGCTGTGAGATTATCTTTCAAAATGTAGTGTAGCATTTATTAGAGTCTGATGCTGTGCTTCGGTAGCTGTTGTGAAGTGTGGGGCTGTCCCCCCCGCTGCCCTGCACGTTCACTTGGCAACTGAAATGGATGCATTAGGCAGAGTTCAGAGAAGAGGACCCGCGTTCATTTCCCCCTAAACTCTGAAGTCCTAATGTGGGGGAATGGCGACGTCCTGCCAGAGGAGGAAACCCGAGTCGGGTTCCTCCGAGGGACTGATAAAGATGTCCCTCACGCCCTCCGGGGAGCCGGCACCCAGGCACCAACAGGCACGACGTGAGGACGGCCAGACTCGCCGACTGCGGCCACATCCCCAAGGGGCCGGGGCGCGCCTGCTGGAAGGTGGGAGGCGGAGTTGCTCCGCTTCTGGGAAGAGACCAAAGGAATGAGTAATTGGAAATTCTGTAACTTAGACCCTTCTCCTAAACTCTTTAGCCCTTTCACCCCAAACCCCCTGCCGAGAGGCAAGGGCACCGGAGACAGGGGGTCGTGGTGGAGGGAGAGTCACGTTTCGGAGAGGGAAGTGAAATAAAGAGGGCGGCACCCGGGGGAACCTGTGCGTCATTGAGGGACCGAGGAGAAGCGCGGGCTCACGGGGTGGAAAAGGAGAAGTGGGAGCGAGAAGCCGGAGGGGGCGGCCGCGGAGTGCGGGTGGGGGCGTCGCGAAGCGCCTGAGCCTCTCCTGCCTTCTCCGGCCGCGCCCCGTCCGCCCGCAGCCCTGCGGCGCCAGGCTCGATCCTCAGCGCTCCGGATCCGGCAGGAGGGGCGCGCCCGTCGCGCGCAGAATGTGGCAGCCGACACGGCTCCGGCCCCGCGCGTCCTGGCGCTGGGCGCTGGCGCTGCTGACTCTGGGCGGCGCGGGGCTGTGCCACGCCGGCCCGCAGCCCATGCACCCCGCGCGGCCGGGAGCCAGGAACAAGTAAGTGCGCGGTCCCTCTCCTCGTTCCCGGCACGGAGCCCTGGTCCCCCGCCTCCCTCCCCGACCCGCTGCCGGGTCCTCAGCTGCCCTGCCAAAGACGATGAGCAGCAGCCGGGGGGTCCCCCTTGGGCTGCCCGGGCGGCGCCTCCTCCCGGGGGGCCGCGCGCTCTCCGGCCGGCGCGAGGCGTTCCGGGTTATCTCGCCAGCCCTTCGAGCAATGCTGCCTCCGGGGCTGTGGGGCGTAGGGAGTGTCCCGCAGAGCAGGACGATCAAGAAAATACTCCCAGGAATTACTGAAGCCCCTGGGACCGTAGGTACTTTTCTTTTGCGTCTTTTGTCGGCTAAAGATGCCGGTTCCCCGAAGGCGCAGCCGCGTACCCTCCGGATGGCTGCTTTGTGGGGCTCCCGTCTCCGCAGAGACGGCGGGCTCCCTGACCCTCGCTAGGTCCGCTGCTCTGTCGGCTCGCCTCGCTCTCCCCCAGCCTCATTGTTCTCGGGATTTACACTGTGGCTTCTCGCTCTCTCTCCTTCACCCCAGGAACTGGTGCGCCTACATCGTGAACAAGAATGTGAGCTGCTCTGTGCTGGAGGGAAGTGAGAGTTTTATTCAGGCTCACTACAACTGTGCCTGGAACCAGATGCCCTGTCCATCCGCGCTGGTGTAAGTCCTTGAGCCCAGCAGCGGGCGGGGTGCGCTGGGGCCTGGGCGGTGGGTGGCGTCGGAGCGCTGGGCTCCAGCGTAAATCTCTTCCAGGGTGAGAAAACTCAGCAGCTGAGAAGTCTGAGCGCTGAGCGCAGTCCCAGGCGCGCTGGCGTGTTTTAGGAGCGTGGGTTGCCCTGAGTGAGCATGGACGATGCGCACGACTTGCGAGCTTGTGATCACCCGGGCACTGGAGGGGTGAACGAAGCCCCCACCCCCACCTCTTTTTTTCTTTCAATTTTATTACTAACATAAGGCAGCTGGACCTAATTAGATCCATATTGTGTGTGCTGGGGCACACAGAAGATTCCAAAATGTATACTGCTAAAAACATTGAAATGTAGGATTAGCTGAGAGGTTTGTTGTAGCCCGTGTCCTAAAACAGGCGAGTTTTGTCCAAATGTCCCCATAAAACGGACCTCTTCCAGTGTTGTAGCTCTCTAAACTGAAGTCCCAGCAGTAACTTGCTTAAAGTGAGTTTTTTTTTTTTTTTTAAATGTTAGATTTGGGGATTCAGCTAAGAGATTGTCAGGAGAAAATGGTCAACTTTTTGATGAGAATTAATCATCTTTTTGCTTATAAAGATTTCATCATCTTAAAAGAAAAAGAGGAAGCAATGCAATAGAATACAAATTCCGTTAAGTACATCACACACATTCAATTCTCTTCTGGCAAGCCTTTGTGTTTTTGTGTAAGTCAGTTATCAGAGGATGAGGGATGTGAATCAATGGCTGTTGGGGAACACATGGGATGGTTGAAATTAATTGTTTTCCCCTAAGAATGCGTTGTCTGTCTTAGGGCACTGTTGTCATTACAGCAAAGAATAGCCAGTAGGCGGATCTGTCTTTGGCAAAGCAAAGGGACAGACTGAAACTGTACTCCAGGAAACCTTATTCCAGAAGGCAGTAGATGAGCCTTCAGGCTTTGTGGGGTGGAAGTGGTCTCTGGATCATTCCACTTGGGCTCTTGTGGGAACTGCAAACAGGGAAGGGATAATTCCTGTTAGGCCAACAGCAACCACCACCACCACCACCTAGAAGAGACCCCCCCCCCCATTTTCGAATAAACAGAGAAACAGGCAGACATGGATTTCTGGCTCCCTGCGTTGGATTTGTCAGAGGGGATGCATACTGTCATAGTGCCTGTTATCTCTGTGTGGTAATCTGTAGACCTCACAGTCCATGGCCGGCAGTCAGTGAAAAGAGAACCGAGTAAGATTTTTACAGGGTGGCAGAGACACGAACTAAGTATTCGACACGATTTGAATGGATGTGCTTAAACTTAGAATTATTAGTCAGGAATATATCATTTGTTTCACTCAAGAACTGCATTTTGTGGTTTGCTATAACCTGAAGACTTGTGGCAACTCAGATAAATGAATTTTTCATTTGGGGAGGTCATGCTTTTCATTTAAAAGATGTTTCTTTTAAATTTTCTGAAATTCTTTTAGTGCTTGCAAAATTAAATGATGATTTAATTGTTGTATTTGACCAAAACTCAGTGGAACAGATCCTTTGTCGTCAATGAGGAGCAAATCACCTCCAGATCAGCAGGTTAATGAAAGGCAGTTGGAGCATATTTTTGCCACCCAGTGGGAAGGACAAAAATTGCTATAAGAAATGACAGATGTTTCTGTTGTTTTCTTAAATAGAACAAAATAAGTGACCTGGGTGTTTTTCTTCAATAGTCACCTAAACAATTCAAGTGTGTTTTTACATTTTAGATACTGCATTGTGTGAAATTTAAAAAATAAGACAGACTGTTTTAGCTGATCAAGCTGGAAATTTTGAAATTAGGTAGTTAATTCAGTCTTGACTTTTTTCTTTCTGTTTCTTTAGAGCTAGGAAAGGAAAGCTTTATCTTATTTTTCAACTACTAAATGATTCCTAAATTTTGATGATTGGTGGATGATGGAAGTCAAAGCCTCTTTATACTTAAAGAGAATGAATGGCTGTTTAACACGGGATTTCCCAGGTGTTTCTGATGAATCCAGAAGCCCCAGTCACTTCTCTCAATTCATGGGCTCGTTGTCAGGTGAGGTCTTCATGATTTGATCCCTAGAACCTGAGCCGTGTGGAAGTGAAAGTCCTTTGGAAACTCATCCTGCAGTTACTGAGGGATCCTTCTCTGGTGGTAGAAGTGCAGGGCTGGAGGTTGGCCGAGATGCTGGAGCTAAAATGCAGTTTGGCAGCTGTGTCCAGCAGAATGCCTGGGAGTGGCAGGTGTGTGCTAGCAAGGCCTTCCGAGGGATGGTGGAGGGAAAGGAGGAAGAGGAACCAGGAAGGGGAGAGAGCAAAGCAAACGTTAGAGGAGGAAACTTCATCTTAGGGACCATGTGCATTTCCAAAAGGGTTAGACCTTGCTCCATCTGCATATATGAAGAACCTTCGATTCCAGATTGTGAATTTGGGCATCATTATGTGAAACTAGGAGCAGAGAGGGTTTTTGTATATGTGGGCATTTTGAGTCATTACTTTTCTGAAACTGTAAAGAGATTTTAGTGTGTCAAGTGCTGCTTTAGGGCTTTTTATTCCATATATGAGGTTATTTAATTCTTGCAACAACCCTTCAAGATGAAAACCATGGTCCCCATTTTGCCAATGAGGAAAGAGAGGCTAGATGTTCCCTAACTTATCTACGGTCACGTGACGGTAAGTGGCTGAGCTGCCCGCAAACCCAGGGCTATTGGGCCTTTGGCCCCATAACGATGGAGAATGCATTTGTTAACGTTTTAGTGTGTGTCTTTGGTGCATTGCACAGTACTCAACTATTAAGAACAATTACACCTTCTTTCTTATTTCATGGAAGGCAATTCCCATGTAAAAGTGATTGAGAACTGTGTGTATGCATGTGCACATAAATCTTTATTATGGATTTGCTATGATGCATTGGACTGTATCATTTTTCATACTGTCCACTATGCTATACAGTTTGTTTTTAAAAATTTTCCCCCAGTTTTATTGAGATTTAATTGACATACAGCACTGCATAAATTTAAGGTGGTACAGCATAAGGACTTACATATGTTGTGAAATGATTGCCATAGTAAGTTAACATCCACCATCTCATAGAAACAAAAAAAAAGAGGAAAAGTCTTTTCCTTGCAATGCAACTCTTAGGATCTACTTTCTTAACAGATTTCAAATCTACCATACAACAGTGTTAACTGCACTCATCATGGTGTACATTACATCCTCAGGACCTTATGTTACAACTGGAAGTTTGCACCTTTGACTGCCTTCATCCAGTTCCCTCTTACCTGACCCTTGCCTCTGTTAACCACAAATCTGGTTTCTTTTTCTGTGAGTTTGGTTTTTTTCTTAGATTCCATGTATAAGTGAGAATATATACCTACATACTATGTATGCCTATAAAATTTGTCTTTTTCTGACTTCACTTAGCATCCATGTCACATGGTAGGATTTTTCTTTCTTTTTAATGGCAGAATAGCATTCCATTGTATGTATATACCACAACTTCTTTATCCATTCTTCAGTCAGCACTTAGGTTATTTCCATGTCTTGACTATTGTAGATAATGCTGCTGTGAACATGGGGTGCAGAGATCTGTCTAACATAGAGTTTTTGTTTCCTTTGCATATATACCAAGAAGTGAAATTGCTGGATCATATGGTAGTTCTATTTTTAATTTTTTGAGGAACCTCCATCCTGTTTTCCAGAGTGGCTGCACCAGCTTGTATTCCCACCACCAGTGCAGGAGGGTTGTCTTTTCTCCACATCCTCAGCAGCATTTGTGTCTTGTCCTTTTGATGTCTTATTTTAATCAAGTACTCACGGCCTGACTTGGGTGAGAGTACCTCCCCCGGGAGCACATTACTGTAATGGGAGGGGCCACTTCATCACCTCACATCTTTAGAGCAACTCCATGAGGGCCATCAGCCCCATTCTACAGAAGGTCATGTCGTTAGGAAGGAGCCGACCTGGATCCAAATCCAGTCACATTTCCCGGTCTTAGACTTCCCCTCCACACCGCATGGTCCCTTGCCGTCTGGACCCACCCTCGAGGGTGTGTGAGCGTGATTCCTACCACAGCGCATGCTGGGACATTGGCACCTCTGGTGAGATGGCAGGGAGCGGCGATGGCCTGAGGTCTGCTAGGTCCCCCGCTACACGGATTGGTGGTGTTTGGGTGGACTGCCAGCAGGAGACAGCGCTACCTTCTCCTTCTTGGACTAGGCATGGCTTCCTTTCAGGCATCATTCACGCTTCGTGGCAGTGATTCCGGAAAGTCCACGACCTCCCACTCCGCTGCAGCGGTCCAGCTGACTGCTGTTAGTATTTGAGGCATTTGGGGGCGTCCTGTGTGCGGAGCAGCTGCTCTGTAGGTGAGGACATCCAGGGGTTCCCAGATGGAAGGCAGGCTTATTTCCGGTATTCGCTTTGCTGGGCTCCGCGGCCGAGGCTCCGTAGAGCGGGGTTTCCTACTCTGCGCCCACAAACTGACTTGGGTTTATCAGCATCCACCCAGCCCTGCTCCTGCCCCCTCTTGGGTGTGTTGCGTCTGGGTGGAATTTTTCCTGTGAGCTCTTTGAAAGAATCTCCTCAGTTGGGGGAGGAACTGGGTGGGACCGACGAGGGGGGCCTGTGGTGCTGTGATGAAACGGAAGAATTTGTGAATTTGTAGCAGGTGTGAGCTCTAAGTGCTGAGTTCCAGAACTCTTCTAATTCTCCTATTCCAAGGGGGAACAGATGATGGTCATTCAGTTGGAGGAAAAGTTGCTTGTTAGAGAGCAATCTCAGCCAGGGGAAGCTTTTTTTCTTTTTCCTTTTAAACAAAGAACACTTAAGGCAGCGAAAATAATGAGGACTTACATCTTCTAGAGTAAATTCTACAGTTTCTCCGTCTCCAGGAACAGAATTCCATTCAACCGGAAAACGTGCCTCTTGTGGGTATAGCTTTGGGGGAATTCTTTTTCCTTCAGCTTTTACACATCTTGCAAT